CATCATCATCATCATTATCATTACCATCGCAGTCAGGAAAGTAATGTACGAGTACGTGGGTGCGAACGAAAAAAAAATTTTACGATTTAAAACCCTTAAAAAACAAAAAAATGAAATGAAAATTATCCAGATGCAACTGGAAAATGAAAACCACGTGCGTGAAAAAACGAAAAGAAAATTATTACGTTTATAATATTATCATTATATGAGAAAGAAAATGGCGTTAAGTGTTATTGAGAATTAAATGTTTACGACGTTTTGGTTCTTAAAAGAATTTTAATATCGGTTGCTAATAAGTCAAAAGGAATGTGCGTGTGTGTGTGTGTGCGCGTGTGCGTGAATGCATCTCTCGAATAAGACTCTGCAAATTGATGTGGGTGAAATTTTCTTTTGATAAAACATTAAAAAGAGAGAGAGAGAGTGAATGAGAGAGAGAGAAAGGGAAAAAAGTGTCTGAATATAATAGATAAATAAATCTGCTTAAGTATTTTAATTGAAGATAAGTTACTGGAGAAGTTAGGAAGCAAACCAAAATAAAGTTCTTATAGGTTTTTACAAGATAAAACTTTTATAAAATATATATATATATTGTTGTGATCACGTGAGCAAATGTTTATAATTTTATATTATTTATAAATAATAACATTAGAACTATGGTTACCAAGTGTTTATTATAGAAAAGAAGCTTCTAGAAACTTATTCTTCTGTTTGTTTACAACCATAGTTATTCGTTACATAGAAACATAATAATAACAATGAGTTCCACCTATAAAAGGAAGCAAGATACAACGTGAGATGTTCTTCTGATTCCCTAATGTCCTGTGAACGTAACATCTTATTAATGATTGTGTTAGTGAGAGTGACGGTTAAAGGTTAAATTATGTTATCCATGATATGAGTGATAATCCTTTTTGTAATAATGCTTGCTAAAGACAATATAGAAAAAATGTTCATAACAATATATTTTTTCTCCAGCTGGAGAAAAAAAAATTTACCTCGGAGTAAATCGAACCAATAATAAGAAAAAAAATTTTTACTACTTTATTTAATTATTGGCCGATATCTATCATTTTCTTTATTTATTAATTTGCCCCCCAAAAAAAAAAATTTTTTCTTTCTTGTTTTCCGGAACCTGGAGTTCCGGGAGAGGTTTTTTTTCTCTCACTGGAGAGAAAAAAAGTTATTAAAAAAAAAATAATAATAATAATGAAAGACATTTAAATAATAAGTCAACAACTTTGTTAATTATCTATTCAAATGCGATGGAGAAAGAATCAACGGTTCATTGCCTTTTATCCTCCTTCCTTTATCAAAATGATAATGATAATATAGTGATAAAGAAACAAAACTTTATCGCGCTTTTCTCTTTTTTGTTTTTTTTAAAATTAATATTCTTATGTATATATATATATATATATATATATATATATATATATATATATATATATATTGTTATATTCGGTTCGTTCTTTATTTTTGTAAGTAATGAACAAGCACTTAAAACTATCACTATAACAAAACTAATATTAATAAACAAGAACTTATTACAGCTAGACTAAAAATCAAATGAACCAACGCCAAGCTGTGTAGCTTGCCTATATTACTTTGGTCTTTCGTCAGTCAACTGTTTCGAATGTTCGAGCAAACACTTGCAAATAAAATAAAAGAAGGAGTCTTAGAAGCT